GATAATTGATGCACATATATTCAGTGTGAGACTGTTGCTTTCAAGTTGTGTTATTACACAGATGATTTAAACTTGTCCCTTCCGTTGCCAACGTATTCAATATACGGAAATAGCAAGTGTTGTGTGAATGAAAGATGCAGGTGAGATTTCTCGTTGCAACGCGTTCTATTTATTCCCAACGCGCGTGGTCGGCGCCTTTGATTGTGCTTATTTTGTTCTCTCATTCTCAAAATCTATCCCTGGCACCGTTTATTTTGTCATGTCTCACAGCTGAATGTCCAAGCTGACTTTGTTTTGGCTGTAATAATGCAGGCTTCAAATTTGCTTTATTCTAGAAACTGGAACAAAAAAAGGGACAGAAAATTATAAGAATGGTAATCATAATAATGAAATCATTGATAAGACTGAGGCGAACGAGACAGATGAACACAAATGCACTAAAAGGCCATGTAATGTTCTGAATGAAAGAGAACCACCACCAAAAAAATTAAAAGAAAAAGAATTGGCCAAGGATGAAATAAACAAAATATCTTCTGAAGACAACAGGAAGGTGATGATTCAGGACATAAAAACTGGCGAAAAAGAACAATCAAGACTTAATGAAAATCAATTGTCTTGCATCATGATTCCAGATAATGATTCCAAGTTGACAGAATCATCAGATGATCAGCTGATTTCATCAACAACAAATGGAACCATAAAATTAGATGCAAGTCCTAGACCAGATATTCCACTTGATCAAGCAGAAGTGTTGAATCGGGTATTAGACAGTGTTAAAAAACAGCAGCCTGTGCTGATGAGTCAAGAAAACCAGAATTTATCCGCTAGTGATCAACTGTCAAATATGAAATCATCAGGATTTGGTGACACCTCCCTCAAATTAGAGTCTTGTGCAAGAAAAGGTCCTGAAGGTAATGATGACACAAAGTCTGACCCTATACTATTTCTGTCAGCAAACTCGGTTACAGATTCTGCTCACAAGAAGTCTGGCATTGACACATTAGGAGGGACAGTAGACCCTGGGGGCAGTGGTGACCTGAAATCTGATACTACGCTATGTCGGACAACTGTCTCAGCAACAAAACTTGGTGATGGTGATTACAAATCTAGAGACTGTGCTGATGTAAAGTCTGAAGAAAGCCCATCAAAGAAGAGAGTGTCCTTCAGTAAAACTGTCACATACAGCCATGAAGTGAAGAGCAAATCACCCAATGGTGGCACCTCCTCCACTGTTACTGGAATTCTCAAATCTGAAAATTTGAAAATGGCAAACAAAAATGAATACAGAGGTAGCAAATTTGTGGGGACAATATTAATGGCTAAACAAAACACACAGTCAGTACTTGCAGCTGAAAATGAAAGCCAATCAGTTCAAAAACATGAAGATTTAGATGACCGAGTTGCCAGCCGTTCACTTAATCCAGTCAAGAATTTAATCTCTGCTTTAGGATCAACAGAGAGTCCATCGCGTATTATTCCAGCCATGTCGAATCTGTCTGTTTCATCAAAAGGTCTCAAAACCATACCCATGATAACAACCCCAGTTCTACCAACACAAAGACTATCCTCTTCTACTTTTTTACTCAAACCTACTTCCAGCTTCATACCGCCAACCAAGGTAGACTCTAATGTTTTCAAGTATAAGTTTGTTCATATACCAGAGACAATATCATCAACTGTCACTACCTCTGATGGTCAAACAAGTTTTTCACAGCCTAATTTACCAACAAGCAGTGACTGGTCAGTTGGCAAAGAGCCTGGTATACAGCAAGTATCAGAAACTAAGGCAAGTAGGGTATAATAATGTTTACAATATTTGGGTAAGACCCTACAAAATATCTGGTTGCCATGCATGTCAGTTGAAATCATCATGCCACAGTGTTACCGATAGAATTTTAGAAAAAATCAAAGAATAATTCAGTTTTTATTAAATTTTAGAATATGAATTCTGCCTGTGTGTGTTGATTGACCAGACAGGTTTTCTTTTTTTTTCGGCTAAATGAAGTGTTGGTAAATTTCTGTTGTTGTTGTTTTGTAACATTGACCAATATCATTCACAGTTAAAGTACTGATATTTGAAGAACTGATTGATACATTTTTGGCTGTATTAGCCAGCTCTATGAACACGACTGCCATATGATAATCTTGTATGATCCGTACTAAATTTTAATAGCACTACAAATTTTTGATATTTTGCCAAGCGAAAACTTTCAATTACAAGTCACAAGGTTTAGCAAATTACTGTAATCAAAGAAAGCTTAGAAAGAACTCCCATGTGCTGAGAGTATTGGAAACACATTAAATATAATTCGAAATCACTTAGCTGAAAACTAATTATGCAAATCAGAAAATTAATATGACCAGATTTGAGTGTAAAACTAATGAGGTCTGCGCAATGTAACAGAAAATCTATGTCTCCAAGTTTAATTGAAATGTGATTAGAACCAAAAAATTATGAATTATTATGCTTATTAGGGA